TCACCTAAAGAGGGACCAATTAGAGCAAGCCACCAGGATCATTTCGAACATAAAAAGGTGGCATGGAGCAGCTCTCAACTTTTCGACATGAGTTGACTATTTCATTCGATGGCAACGTCACGCATTGATATGAATTTGAAGTATAATAAACCCACATAAGAAAATAGTATTTAAAAAATAGTTTTATTAACTTCATACCCATACATCGAAACGGATTTATGGATCTTTTTATAGCTGACACAAGCGACTAATTTCTTAAATAATGAGTCTCGTCGTCACACGCGGATGTAACTACATAAACTAATGGTAATGCCGGTGTCACAATGCGATAATTATTGATTTTTTTGGTCAACGGAGTTAAGAAGTTCATGCCCATTTCGAAATTATATATATGCAAGTCTTATCCATATAACTATAGGCGGGAAAATGGGTCAATGGACCCATTTTTCTACTTACATTTGCTGTGCTGGCTTGTAACATGGGTCATTTCAATCTGTGAACGTGTTCAAATGAGTTGTAAGAAATAAAGATCAACTAAAAATGGGTCTAAATGGATTTGGATTGATGACATGATTTCGGTTTCGACTTTGCAGAATTTGAACAAATTGAAATCATCGTGCGTGTGATTTCTGCGATACTAAGTGTTTGGTTGAAGCAGTGATCGACGGAGCTTGTTTCATTTGTACCTGTGTGTGCGAGTCACATTTATGAATCTTGGATTCACATTCAACCCACCCAATTTTGATCTAATCGACTTGTTGATAATTTGCTTACAACTTACTACTGACATGACACATGTCTTTGCTTCACCAACACAACCAAGTAATTGCTTAAATGGTTCGTCACCTCCATCACATGACGAGATGCAACTATCACAAGACAACGATCACAACCGGAGTCCATTTGCTTACAACTTACAACTGACAAAACACATGTCTTTGCCTCATCAACACAACCAAGTAATTGCTTAAATGGTTCGCCACCTCCATCACATGACGAGATGCAACTATCACAAGATAATGATCACTACCGGAGTCCATTATAGGAATGCATGCTTATGACAGACATGATTTGTCGATGTCTTTCAACGACATAGTTTCTTTTAGTTCTACGGCTTTATCATGTAATCTATAAGGAGTTATTTTGGATTCACTTTTAGTTTTGTTTTCAGAGATATGTTCGACGGTTTCTGATCAATTATATTTCAAGTTTGAATTGTTTACGGAACTTAATCTAATCGGATAAATATCCAAGTTTTAACAGTACAAAGAACAATGGGAAGTCCTCATCCACTAAAGATAAAAAGGGGGCACACTTATTGTATAATATCGTTTCTTTTTACTTTTGAGGGCAAAATGAACTCAGAATAGAAAGAAACAGGTTACGTTTTCTGTTTCTTTAACCTACCCTACAGTAGCCGTACATGATAGAGAAAGGAGATATGTTAGGTTTTTTTCCCTAAGTTCTTGACATGACCACAAAGTGAAGTAGCCGTGAGTGAGTGTTTCTTCAGCAAAGTTGTAGTCGCAAGAGTGGGTGAAGCCGCGCGCACAATGAATAGATTTCTTGACTAGCAAGGCTATTCGAAAAATTAAATGAATAATTTTATTTATTTTAGAAAAATACCATCAAAAATCTCAAATTATGCCACTTATGATAAATTTACCTTAAATTTTTTTTTGTGACACGAAAAATCTCAAACTATGCTACTTGTAACATATTTACCCAACAATACATTTGTCCAAAGGCATTTTCGACTTTTTTCCTTTTTTGTTTCTTTCTTCTCTCTTCCCTTCGCCGGCAAGGGCGGCCCTCGCCGGCGACCATCGTCGGCGTCGAGTGAGGGTCGCCCTCGCCTGAGTCGGGTGAGGGCTGCCCTTACCCAACCCCAACGCCGGCGAGGGCCGCCGTGGCCGGCGAAGCGAGGGCGACCATCGTCGGTGTCGAGTGAGGGTCGCCCTCGCCTGAGTCGGGTGAGGGCTGCCCTCACCCGACCCCAATGCCGGCGAGGGCCGCCCTTGCCGGCTTCTCTTCGCCGGCCACGGCGGAGGGGAAGAGAAGGAAAAAAATAGAAAAAAGAAAAGATGAAAATGTCATTGGGTAAAAGTATTGTAAGGTAAATGTGTCATAAGTGACATAGTTTGAAATTTTTTGTGTCATAAAAAGAAGTTAAGGATAAATTTATCATTCGTGATATGGTTTGGGATTTTTTATAGTGTTTTTCCTGAAAAGAAACAGGTTAGGTTTTCTGTTTCTTTAACCGACCCTACAGTAGCCGTACATGATAGAGAAAGGAGACATGTTAGGTTTTTTTCCCTAAGCTCTTGACATGACCACAAAGTGAAGTAGCCACGTGTGGAGTGTGTTTCTTCAGCAAAGTTGTAGCCGCAAGAGTGGGGGAAGCCGCACGCATAATGAATAGATTTCTTGACTAGCAAGGCTATTCGAAAAGTTAGATGAATAATTTTATTTATTTTAGGAGACTGTAGCATGAGTTTTTGATTTATTTATTATTATATATTGATGATATATTGATAGTAGTTAAGAATATATTTAATACTGATATGTTGAAGAGGTAGTGAAATGCTGAATTATTGATGAAAGATTTAGGTGTTGCAAAAAAAATATTAGGTTTGAAGATTTTGCGTAATAAGGTTGCATGACTTTTTACGTCTATCTCCAAAGAAATATACTAAGAAGATCGTGGCATAATTTAATATGTTGTATGTGAGTACTACACCTTTAGTGTGCACTTTAAACTTTCTGATAAGCTATTATTGCAGATTGAAGAGAAGGAGGAGCATATGTCTCGTGTTCCTTATTTTAGTACAGTGGGTAGTATTATGTATGTTATGGAAAATACCGGGCCCGACATTTCACAAGTTGTGAACGTAGTTAGCCGTTACGTGAAACGTTTTGGTAGAACTCATTGGAAAGCTGTGAAGTGGATCTTTAGATATTTGAAGAGGACAACAAAGGTGGGTATGGTGTTTTGTAGGGACAATAATGGCAATGGGACCACTAGGCATGTGGATTCGGATCAAACCGGTGACTTAGATAAGTGCAAGTCTTTAGTAGAGTATGTGTTTAAACTTGCGAGTGGTGCAATTGTTGATATCTAAATTTTTGGCTAACCATTCATGATAAATTAGGGATTATTATTTAACCTCTAAATAAAAATGTTATAATTAAATTGCATAACATATAATTTAGGCTTAATAATCCATTAACCAAATCCCTAGGTAGCACCTTGAGATAAGGTCGCAACATCAGTTAGTTGGAAAGCGCCATCACAGGACAACGTTACCCTGTCTTCGACTGAGGCAGAGTACATGGCAATAACCTTTATAGTAAATGAGGCAATATGGCTAAGTGGTTTGCTCTCGGACTTTGGGTTGGATCAGAAAGGTGTTGATGATACACATTGTGATGACTAAGATGCTATATTTTTGGCATATAATATGATCTATCATGAGTGAACGAAGCATATCGATATCAGGTACTATTTTATCCGAGATATCTTAGCGAAGGGTCTAACTGTTGTGGAGAAGATTGCAATAGCTAAGAACCCGATAGACATTATGACAAAACCCGTTCTTTTGGCGAAATTCAAACTTTGTTTGAGCTCAATTGGCGTCTGTAAAGAGTGAGCGCCCGTCGGAAGCATTGGGAGAGCAGCATGAATAATGAGCTCCATCGCTTAACTTTAAACATTGAATCAAAGTAAAGAATTGTTAAATTATATCTCAAGTTGAAGTTGTTTATGAAAACTCAACCTGGTTTGATAAATATTCAAGTTTTAACCACACAGAGAAAAAGAAAAAGAAAAAATTCTTGGCCCTAAAGATAAAAAGAAGAGGTACACTTATTATATAGGGAAAATACCACTAAAAACTCCAAACTATGCCACTTGTGATAAATTTACCCTGAACTTTTTTTTGTGACACAAAAAACCTCAAACTATGCCACCTGTGACAAATTTACCCTAAATTTTTTTTTGTGACACGAAAAACCTCAAAATATGCCACTTGTGACATATTTACCCCACAATACTTTGGCTCATGGGCATTTTTGTCTTTTTCCTTTTTCTGTTTTTTTTTTCTTTTCTTCTCGGGCGAGGGCAGCCCTTGCCCTACGCCGGCGAGGGTCGCCCGACGCCGGCGAGGGTCGCCCTCGCCAGATCTGATGAGGGTAGCCTTCGTCCAACGCTGGATCTGGCGAGGATCGCCCTCGCCGGAGAAGAAAAGAAAAAAAAAGGAAAAAAAATAGAAAAAGAAAAAAGACGAAAATGCCCATGGGCCTAAGTATTGTAGGGTAAATGTGTCGCAAGTGGCATAGTTTAAGGTTTTTCGTGTCACAAAAAAAGTTCAGGGTAAATTTGTCACAGGTGGCATAGTTTGAGGTTTTTCGTGTCATAAAAAAAATTCAAGATAAATTTATCACAAATGACATAATTTGAGATTTTGGATGGTATTTTACCTATTATATAATATCTATCCGTTTTACTTGTGAGTACAAAAAGATGTTAGTAGAGAAAGCAACAAAAGGGTAGGTTGTCTGTTTCTTTACTCCCTAGAGTACAGTAGCGGTATGTAATAGTGAAAGTAGGTGTGATGGGTTTTAACCCTGGGTCTTCACATGACCACACGGCGGGGTGAATAGCCATAATAATTGGATTTCTTCAGTAAAGTTGAAGTCGCAAGAGTAGGTGAAGTCGCATGCACAGTGAAGGGAAATATTTTAGACTTACTCAGACGAGCGAGCGACGACTTTGCTGTTCTAATTAATTAATTGAATCACGCAAATTTTTATGTCCATTACTGTTCGTCATTTATTTTTTCTGATGATTTCGCGTTGAATTAAATTGCAACATCCGATGGATTATCGCATTAGTATTACAGCAGTTTCGGTGACCGATGCCACTTGGCGACCATGCACGGATACTTCATTAAGACTACGCCGGCATTATTTGTTGGTTTGCTCACAGACTCGCCTCGATGAAATAACAAAATGTTGTTTGGTGAGCAAGAACATTTCATCAGCTCCCCTATAAAAGGATAGCGAACCATTCATCGCCCCCTCAAAGAATTCCAGGTGGACGGAGGAGCTAGAAAGTAGAAATGGCGTCCAAGGGTCTGCATAGCAACGTTTCTGTTCCCAGAAACAATTGTTGATCAGAAATAGTTTTTTCTATTTCTATTTCTTGGAACAGTTTCTGAGCAAAAAATAGCGTTTAGTAACTGCACAAAATTTCTATTCCTGGAATAGAAAAAGAATAGAAATGCGTTAGGGCGCGAATGATCCATTTCTATTCCATGGACGAGTTTCTCCCTTCTGGGCCACCGGCGGAGGACGGCAGGTGGCGGTGGAGGGCGAAGGACGGAGGAAGGTGGTCGGCGGCGGCAGAGGATGGCGGCCGGCGGTGGGAGGCAGTGGAGCACGGCGGTCAGCGGCGGAGCACGGTGGCGTCGTGCGGCGGTGACGGCAGCGGGGGCGACGGTGGGAGGTGGCTGGCGGCGAAGGGTGGCCATCGTCGGTCGATGGAGCACGGCGGCCGGTGGCGAAGGATGGCAGCCGATGGTGGGTGACCGCCGGCGTCGGGTGGCCAGAGGCGAGAGGTGGTCGGCGGCCGAGGGCAGCTAGCGCCGGGTGGTGGCCGGCGTCGAGCCGTGGAGCACAGTGACCGGCGGCGGATGATGGCGATCGGTGGTGGGTGGCCGGCAGCGGCGGAGGACGGCGACCGGTGGTGGGTGATCGCCAGCGTCGGGTGGTTGGCGGGGGGAGGCGGCCAGCATCTGGTGGCGGCCGGCGTCGGGCGATGGAGCACGACGGCCAGTGGTGGAGGACGATGGCCGGTGGCGGGTGGCAACAAGGGTCGAGCGGCGGAGAACAATGGTCGACGACAAGAGGCGGGCGGGAGGCGGCCTGCGAGCGTTGGTCGGCGGGCGGCGGCTACGGAAGGCGGGCAGTAGGTGGCGGCGAAGGACGGCGAGAGGCGGCGGTGGGCGGGTTGCGGCCGATGGATTGTTTCTTATTTTTGGAGAATTCTAGAAAAAAAATCGTTTCTTTTTTCTTGTTCCAGAAACAAGAAGCAGATTTTTTTTGCTTCTTGTTTCTGTTCCAAATCTATTTCTGGAACACTTTTTTGTTCCAGAAACAAAAAAATAGATTTTTTTTACTAAACGGATTTCTGTTCTTTTTCTGTTCCGGGGAACAAAAGAACAGAAAAATAAAGAAACAGAAACGTTACTAAACAGACCCCAAAGTTCCCGTGATAGTTTTCTCAGAGTGAAGTATGGAACCCGGGACCAAGTCGTGGGTGAGAGTCAGTGATGAGATTGTGCAGGCCCTTGAACATCACGGGTGCTTCGTCGCCGAGCACGAGGGTTTCCCTCGGGAGCTTCGCGACGCAATCTTCGGCGTCGCGAAGGAGCTCTTCGATCTCCCCCACGAGACCAAGGTTCGAAACCCCAACAGTGCGCACTCGAATGGTTACATAGCCAAAGTTCCCAGGACTGCTTTGCTTGAAGGTCTGAACATTGATGGTGCTGAGAAACTCGACGCTTGTGAGAACTTCATGACTCTCATGTGGCCCTCTAGGAATGCTCGCTTCTGGTACACCCTTTGCTCACGTATTCTCCTTTGGTTTTCCTCCCACAACGTTCAATGAACTCAGTAAAGCCGTCTTTATTCCCGCGATCGTAGGTTTATCTTTTTTCGAAAGATTTTGTTTGCAGATGGACCGCCTGCGTCGTTTACGCGCACAATATAAGTTTAACTCCTTATATCTCATACATTTTGGCCACTGACTTGAGCTTCGCTTCATACTTTTGAGGTAAGTGGAGTTTCTTCGTGGATGCAGTAGCGATGTCGAGCCTTTTATGAATCGCCCAATCAGTAAATAACATTCCGTTTTGCCGCAGCAAAACTGCTCATTCCTACGCTAGGGCGATGGCTGAATTGGAGAAAGTGGTGACGAGGATGGTGTTCGAAGGCTACGGCGCGGGGGAATACTGCGACACCCACGCCGAGTCCACCACATACTTCCTGCGTTTCTTGAAGTACAAGAAACCCGGCGAGAACGAGGGCGACACATTTCCGCCCGCCCACACGGACAAGACCTTCCTGTCCATACTGTATCAGAACAATGTGAGGGGCTTGGAGTGTTGGGAATCGAGCACCGATTCTAGAAAAATAACCCAAACAAACGATCCTCACTAGCAGAATATAATAATAAAAGAATAGAATCGAAAGAACACACCAGAGAATTTGTTATCGAAGTTCACCCAAACCTGGGCTACATCTCCGCGTAGAGGCACTCTGTGAATCCACTAGACTTCGAAGAAAGTAGGAATATAATTATGATCTTCTCTCAAGATCGGAGCACAAAGAGATTGAGAACACTCACAAAGAAAAAAACTCACTTTTTTCTTCTCTCTTTTCTTTTCTCTCTATTTTCTTCTCAGCACTTGACGGCTAACTTCTATCAATAGCTTATATATAAAGCGTAGCTTTTAACCTAAAAGCAAAATTAATAGAAAAGACAAAAAAGCCCTTAATAACAATATTTGGCTTCATCCTCCAACAATCTCCCACTTGAAGACAAATACACCTGATGCACCAAGCAACTTTGCATCCATCTACTTCAAAAGCTAGTAACCTGAACTTGTGCCTCTGCGATACTCCTCATCAATTAACATGGAGTAATACCAATGGTAGTAGTACAGAGAATAAGTTTCTCTCTGTCTACTACCTTGGTAAACATATCAGCTGGATTCTTCAAGCCATCAATCTTCTGTAACTTTAACTCATTATCTTTCAATGCTGACCTGATGAAATGATAACGCTTCTTGATATGTCTAGTTCTTGAGTGATAAGCTGCATTCTTTGCTAAGTGTACTGCACTTTGACTATCACTCCATAGTGTGCTCACTGGCTGCTTTCGATGTAGCTCCTCCATGTAATCTTGTAACCACATGATTTCCTTGGAGGCTTCCGTGATCGCCACGTACTCTGCTTCTGTCGTCGATAGAGCCACTACTTTCTGTAGTTGAGATACCCAACTCACTGCTGTACCTGCAACTGTAAAGACATATCCAGTGGTACTTTTACCACTATCTCGATCACCCGAATAATCTGCATCCACATAACCCTGCAACTCTAGAGATGTCCCTCTATAACAAAGAGAGTAATTTGATGTACCTGCTAGATATCTCAATATCCATTTTACTGCATTCTAATGCTCTTTGCCCGGGTTCTGCAAATATCGACTCACAACTCCCACTGCCTGTGCAATGTCTGGTCTCGTGCTCACCATGGCATACATTAAACTTCCCACTGCTGATGCATATGGGATTGCCGCCATCTCATCTTTCAAAGCCTGAGTACTCTGACACATATCCTTAGAAAGTTTGAAGTGACTCGCTAGAAGAGTGGCAACCGGTTTTGCCTTATCCATGTTAAATCTCTTTAACACCTTCTTCACATAGTCTTCTTGCGACAACCATAATTTCTTATTTTTCCTGTCTCTGATGATTTTCATGCCTAAGATATTCTTGGCCTCTCCCAAGTCTTTCATAGCAAACTGCGATGCCAACATCTTCTTCACTTCTACGATTTTCTTCATATTGGAACTAGCCACTAGCATATCATCCACATATAAAGAGAGATATACGATATCACCATCGCTATACTTGCAAAAATAAACACAATGTTCAGCTTCACAGTGTGCAAAACCTTTTTCTTCCATGAAACCATCAAACTTTAAGTACCATTGCTGCGGAGCTTGCTTCAGGCCACACAAGCTTTTCTTCAAGCGACATACAATGTGCTCTTTACCTTTGACCTCAAAACCTTTAGGTTGCGCCATGTATAACTCTTCATCTAGGTCCCCATGCAAAAACGTCGTTTTCACATCCAATTGCTCGAGATGAAGATCCTCCACTGCAACTATACTCAGCAAAACTCTGATTGATGTCATCTTTACTACTAGTGAAAATATTTCGGAGTAGTCGATTCCTTCTTTTTGAGAAAAGCCCTTGACCACAAGTCTCGCTTTGTATCTGATACTACCATATGCTTCATTTTTTATCCTGTACAACCACTTATTTAACAAAGCCTTTTTACCTGCAGGCAACTCTGTTAACTCCCAAGTTTTGTTCTGAAGTAACGAGCTCATCTCGTCTTTCATAGCACGCTCCCACTACATGTGAGATGTGTCTTTCTATGCCTCATCATAAGTCTCCGGTTCTCCCGAATCTGTATATAAGACATGGTTCAGAACAATATTAGCTGATGGATCAAAAATTACCTTTGGCTTTCTAACTCGTGTAGACCTCCTCAAGATAGGTACTTCAGGGTCGTCAGTATGTTCTGGATCACCGCGTTCCTCTTGAACTCCCTGTTCATTGATAATAGGTTCATCTTGAACCTCCCCTTCAGGTACATTTTGATTCGCTGGAACTATTTTCACAGGTATTGTGTCCAGCTGAACATATTCTGGTTCTACTGCCTTCTCATGCTCCATCTGATGATCCTTGTACATCTTTTCTTCATGCAATACTACATTCTGACTGCGGAAGACTTTGTTATTTTCATAATCCCAAAGCCTATAGCCATACTCATCGCTACCATATCCAATAAAGACGCACTTCTGGGATTTAGCATCAAGCTTCTTCCTATCCTCCCTATCAATAAGAGCATATGCAATACAACCAAAAACTTTTAAATATGAATAATCAATCTTTTTACCTAACCAATGCTCTTGCGGTATTTCTCCATCAAGCGCACTAGATGGACTCCTATTAATCAGATAAACAGCTGCATCAACTGTAGCAGCCCATAAGTGTAGCGGAAGACCCGCATGTAGCCTCATGCATCTCGCACGTTCCAGAATGGTTCTATTCATCCTCTCAGCTACACCATTCTCTTGAGGAGTTCTAGGAACAGTCTTCAACCCGTGTATACCTTCTTGGCTCAAGTATTCTGCAAATTCCTTACTCGTGTATTCACCACCATTATCAGATTTTAGAGCTTTAATTTGATAACCTGTCTCTTTTTCTACCATGGCCTTCCACATTTTGAACATCCCGAATACTTCTGATTTTTCTCTGAGAGCATAGACCCAAGTCTTCCTTGTTGCATCATCAATGAATGTGACAAAATATCTCTTACCACCATAAGAGAGTTCCTGAGCCAGTCCCCACACATCCGTATGAACCAACTCTAATTTTTTACCTTTATTATGTCGCTCATTCAACTGACAACTGACTGCCTTTTGTTTTCCATAAATGCAACTCTCACAGAAATCTAATTCAACTTTCTGCAAACCTGGAAGTAACTTCATTGAGTGTAACTGCTTTACACCCTTTTCACCAAGATGTCCCAAACGATAATACCAAAGAGTAGACAAATTACCTGTAGCCACTGTAGTTGCAACCATATCACTGATATTGTCTCCCTGGAGAAGGTAAAGCGTACCTGTACGTTTTCCCTTTGCTACTACTCTTGCCCCTGAGGTTATCTTCCACTCTCCGCATCCAAAGGTTGTTACCAAACCTTCTTGATCAAGTTTACTAGTTGAGATCAGATTTTTCTTTAATTCTGGGATATGTCTAGTTTCGTGCAAAACTAGACGTCCTCCACCTGAGATGTTCACAATCACAGTTCATTTTCCAACAATTGGACACATGTGGCCATTTCCCACATGTGGGACAACCAAATTCTGTTTTGTCTTAATTGGTCCCTCTTCGGGCGAAAGCTGGTGACATGATATATAAAAAATGGGATTGCCTTAAACATGTGATTTATATGTCAACAACCCTTTTTAAGGATACGTGGGATGGTTGTCATCTCTCTTGAAACTATACTTGACAAGATCATACAAAAAGTATAAATACGCAATGGTTATAAATGATAAAATACTTAAATATTAAATCCCGCATTCCTCTAACAATTTAAGTTTTTAAAATAATTGGCAGTGATCTTACAAAATCTCACAATAAACTCGTTAATAGTAATCATTCCACTATTCACACCACCTTCAATAACAAAGGATTTTGAGAGACTTAGCGTTTCGAGAAGCAATTCTAGGATTGCTGGTAACTAATGCACCTTTACCTATTTGCACCATGCATCGGAAACCTCAACGCTAATTTCCTTTGGAATTGCTTGCTCCAACTTCTTGAAATTGTTCCATGTTCCCTTGTATAAGAAAAAAATGTCAGCTCTCGAAAGTTTGGCTAATTCATTCCTGGGCAAGGTCATGCATTGATTTGATTTTAAAAGAATGATAACCCCACAGACAAAATCAGTGTTTGAAAATTGATTTTATTAATTATGGAGTGGCACCGGTCAATAACTTGGTAATGCGATTGTTATCCATGCATCAAAACAAGTTTATGGATCTTCCCACCCCTAAAGCTGTTAAATTATGTCTCGAGTTTAAGTCCGTAATTTTCTTTAAAGCATTTGCTCTTATACAAGATGAATCGATTATTAGGTATGGAGCAACGAAAGGATCAAAGCGTATCACCATCAAGTCGACGTGTGAGAAGATGGGTTGGTGAGGTACGCGGTTGGCGTCTTCTTATATACTACAGGGACAATAGAGATACCCAAGGAGTTTATCGACCAAGACCACCCTCAAAAGTTTCAAATCATTCAATCATCCTGATTTCCCGCGTTTCTATGACAGGGGCGATGGTCGCACCAAGGCTCAGAGCCTCATCAAACCCTATTGTGGAGTCTAACCAAATGCGCTGGTCATTGAAAGCCTATAGGGGCTGAGTATGGTTACCGAATTCAATTTCAGCCTAGTGCATGATCTTGAGGCCTATATCTTTGTATTGCTTTGGCTAAAAAGAACTTTGTATCGTACTACACTAACCAAATGCACCAAAGTGTCCGTTCAGAATTCCTTCCAATTAAAGGTTATCATCGGGTGATGGCTCAATCGCCCTGCCCTCGGGCCGAGGTGGGCTTGGCCAGGAGATTCACATGAGATAGCCCAGAACGTGCATCTTTTGATTGGGCCTAACCTTGCCCAACCCGAAAATTTCCTGATAAATTTTATAATATTAGTGGGTTTGGGCAACACATTAGACCTGACCTTCAATCCCTTCCTCAATCAAGCACATCTAATAGTCACTTCTACTTCTAATAAGTATTGGACGTATTCGGTGTGAAAAAGGAAAATTGGGTCTAATTTGAACAAGGAAATG